GCGCAGTGGCGTGAGGTGGTTGAGCTTGGAGTTTCAGTTCTAGGAGGACCTTCTTTCTTAACTAGAAGTTTTGAGTTTTGTTTTGCTTGGGGCTTTCCCAGGCAACCGGAGTTTAAATTTTGGTTACTGGTCCATTGCCTATTGATACACCTAAAATATATAGTGTTTTTAGACACATTTTTATACATATTTTTTAGAAATTGCGCTTTAATGAAAGGTATTTTTGTGCTTTTCTTGCAAATACAAGTAAAAATGGAAAAAACGCTTAAAGGAGTGAAAAAGGATCAAATTTGGAGCAAAAAGGTAAAAATTTGTGCAAAAGAGTTTTGGCGCCTAAGCGTCAGATCCGGCGCTTACGCGTCGGTTAAACAGAGAAGGTTGACTTAATAGGTGGTTGTAACTACCATGGACGAAAATTATCATGAAACGATGCATCTCATAGGCAAATACATTGAATTAAGACACATTTTGAAGAGATCCCAAGGCACCTCTTGGAAAACTATAAAATAATGAAGAGAGGACTTAGAAAATAGTCCTAAAAATATTGGCAAGTTTTGAAAGTTCTTTTCTGAGGAGTTAGTTCGGAGAGATTTTCAGGAGCAATTTTTTATTTACTTCATCCTTTTTGTTATTTTGTTCTGAGTGATTGTAAAAGAGAAGAGATTCATAGGAACTTCAAGAGTTTGGTGGAGGACTTGAGATAAGTTCTTATCTTTTTTTTTAAACTATTTTTGGTTTTAATCGAAACTTGTTGTTGGTTTGACAATGATTTCTTCTTTTAAACCAAAGTGTGGTTTTATTTTCTCCATGGATTCTGAGTAGTTTTCTTTGTCTTTCTTCTTAAAATGATAAGTAATTATGTTTTGGATGAAAGTTTTGGAGAGGATTGGTCTTTAATGTTGGAAGAAGCTGTGATGATTTAAATCCATGCACTTAATTTACTTCTTGATTTGGCCAATCCAAAATTTGTTGTGAGAACATGTAAGAACCGGGCTGGTATTGTCTCGGTCAACAATTGAAAAGAATCACATGAGATTGTATGAATGAGAATGTAGTTCATATGATTGAGTGCAAATAAATAGGGAAATATTCAGTGATGGGTGTAGAGTTAGAGGGCTTTAAAGTGACAGGTTAAAGCCCCCATCTTGGTATAATGTTTTAGGTTCTGATATGACAATATTAGCCCGCAGGTGGAGGGAATCGAGGGAACTCTAGAGTGAGAGCTAATACTTCTCTGCCTAGCCGGTCTTCAGAACTATTCAAACTTTAAATTAGTCAATGATCTTTATAACATCTCTAGTAAGGGTAAAGAATATTACTGCTCCTATTTCGCACAACACAATTTGCATACTTCCACAAAAAAATTTGTATGCTTATGATTCATGATAAGAAGAAAGATATTTTCATATTAAGTATATTTATTCTACAAAAAAACTTTTGTTATCTTTTTACTGTTTCGTTAAAATATCAAAAATACAAAAAATATTTTAATATTAAATTCCTACAAAAAACCATTTTTAGTTTAAGTAATTATCTTTTTAAAAATAGAAAAACTTTTTAAAAAGTGCATATTGCATAATCTTCCCTGTGGGTTCGATATTCAGGTCTTAATCAAAAAGTCCTATAATACTTGATAACGATATGTATATTTGCGTTTGCGTAGTATCCCAATATAAATATATATAAATTAAAAAGTTAAATTCTTATTTTTCTTTAGGATCAAGTTTTTGGTTTTGTTGCAAAATAAGGAAATATAAGTGAAAAATACCATCAGAACTATTGTTATATTATGCATAAGCATTTGGATCGGGGATCAAGTTTTTGGCGTCGTTGTTGGGAAAGAAAACTAAGTAAATTTCTATTTTTAGAAAGTATTATTTAAACATTAAATATTGTATCTTATTTTGCATGTTTTATTTTATTTTATTTCATTTTATTTTATGTTAGTGTATGCGTAGTTCAGGTTCTGAATAACTAGTGTCATACAATTCTAAATTAGAAAGAACTATTAGTAGAAAAATCTGAAAAACTAAAAAAATTAAAAATCTTGAAAAATCTAAAAAATTTATAGAAATGAGAAACCAAAATAATCAAAATGTTGAAATTCATCATAAGTTTAAACCTTTAAGAGATTATGCCAACTCTATTGTAGATGAACTTCATTGTAAAATTTAAAAACCTACTGTAGTGGCTAATTCATTTGAGCTTAAACCTGTTAGTAACCAAATGGTATCAAATAATAAGTTTGGGGGATCACCAACTGAAGATCCAAATTTACATCTTACCAATTTTCTAGAATTGTGTGCTACATTTAAACACGATGGTGTTTCAGATGATGTCATAAGACTTAGGTTATTTCCTTTCTCATTGAGGGATAAAGCTAAAATGTGGTTGAATTCTTTAGCACCTGGATCTATTAAAACTTGGGGTGATTTAGCACAAAAATTCCTTGCCAAATATTTTCCACCATCAAAAACTGCGAAGCTTAGAAATGATATTAAATCTTTTAATCAATTTGAAGGGGAATTTATTTATGAAGTATGTGAATGATTTAAAGAACTCTTAAGAAAGTGTCCACACCATGCTATACCATATTGGTTAATAATTCAAACCTTTTATAATGGATTAATTGGTTTTCTTAGATCTATTATCGATGTCGCTGCTGGTGGTTCATTGATGTCAAAATCTTTTCATGACGCTTATGCTTTAACTGAAGAGATGGTTACCAAAAACTTTTAATGGCCTTCTGAGAGGGTGAATCCAAAGAAAGTAGCCAATATGAAACAGATGCATTTACTATGTTAGCAAGTCAATTTGCTGCAGTTTCAAGGAAGTTAGACCAATTTGGAATATATTTTTCTCAACCAATTTCTATGATTGAAGAGAATTCATTAAGCCAAATGGTAGATTCTCAAGCATCATTAGAAACTTTGAATGCATACATAATAAGCAAAATAACCCATATTCCAATTATGATAACCCAGGTTGGAAGAATCATCCCAACTTTAACTGGAATAACAATTCGAGTGGTAATAATCAGCAATTGGAGAACAACCAAGTAAACCCATTGAGAAACTAGAACAACTAAGGGAATAATAACTATAGATCTATTTAACCTCCAAGAGTCAACAGTACTACATAATTTAAGGATAAGAAGTTTTCTATAGAAGAAGTGGTTTTGCAAATGGGTAATCAGTTACAAAGTCAAGGAGCTACAATTAAAAATATTGAGAATCAACTTGGGCAAATTGCAAGTTCATTAAGTAATAGATTCTAAGGAACACTTCCTAGTAATACTGAATCAAATCCAAAAGACCAGAATAAAGAGCAAGTTAAAGTTGTACAACTTAGAAGCGGAAGAGAGTTGAAAGGTAGGGTTCAAAAATAAATTGAGGTAGAGAAAGAAGAAATTGAAGAATTAAAAGAGGACGCTCCGAAAGATTCTGAAAGACCTATTTCTCCACCGAAAATTGATTTAGTAAAATCACCACCTCCATTTCCTTAAAGACTTCGACAACAGAAGTTGGACAAGCAATTTTTAAAATTTTTGGAAATATTTAAGAAGCTTACAATCAATATTCCATTTGCTGAAGCCTTCGAACAAATGTCAAACTATGTAAATTTTATGAAGGATATTCTCAACAGAAAAAGGAAGTTCGAAGATAATGAGACTGTTTCACTTAGTGAGGAGTGCAGTGCTATAATTCAGAAGAAACTTCCTGAAAAGCTTAAAGAACCTAGTAGCTTTACAATTCCATGTGCAATAGGAGAGATTTTATGGGAAAGCGTTATGTGAGTTATGTGATTTAGGTGCTTAGGTGCAAGCATTAACCTTATGCCATTATCAATATTTAAAAGATTGGGATTAGAAGAAATTACCCCTTCTTTTGTAACTCTGCAATTAGTAGATCGTTCAATAACCTATCATAAAGGAGTTATAGAAGATGTCTTAGTGAAAGTGGTAAAGTTAAAAGTGGATCAATTTATCTTTCTTGTTGATTTCATTGTGTTAGATATGTAGGAAGATAAAGAGATACCACAGGAAG